CTTGGCCTTAAATGGTGTTATTTCGAACTTATCGAAATAGTAACCCGTCGTCGTTCGATCGAGTTCAAACTCTTTTTCTTTTTGGCGAAGACCCTTGGCCTTAAAGGGTGTTATTTCGAACTTATCGAAATAGTAACCCGTCGTCGTTCGATCGAGGTCGAACTCTTCTTCTTTTTGGCGAAGTCCTTTGGCCTTAAAGGGTGTTATTTCGAACTTATCGAAATAGTAACCTGTCGTCGTGCGATCGAGGTCAAACTCTTCTTCTTTTTGGCAAAGGCCCTTGGCCTTAAAGGGTATTATTTCAAACCTATCGAAATAGTAACTCATCGTCTGTCCATTTTTGGAGAGCCAGATATCTTCTGGGAGAGTCCTAGTTCGTTTGGCACTTCTCGCAACGGAGGGTACGACGCCAGAGAATGTGAAGCGTTGCTTTTTCGCTTAGGTTCACTCTGCGCACAAATTGTAGTTTCCTTGTTTGGCTCCTGTCTTCTGGCTCGGAGGTATTGCCGGTGGGAGGTATCACAGTTGTTTTGCAGTAGTTTTTCGTCCTTTGATTGAAGTGTTGTTGTTTTTGTTCGCCTGCGTGGCCATTATATTCCTACTTGAGTAGAGACCGGGAGGCGAGTTAGAATGAAACTTTCCTTGCCCCCATCCGATGGTCCGATGGGGGAGAATTGATTGGTAATGTCGTTCACCTTGTTTGGCGTATCAGTAGTTGATGAGGTGAAGATTTCTAAGCTTGATTGTTTTGCTCAGCTCTCCTCCCCCTACTGGGTTGCTCCTTCGTCTCGCGTGGGTTGGATTTTCTCTTTTCGCTCCTTTTGGTGAACGATTGTATTTCTTGTCTTTGATCTGGGAGAAACTAGAAAATTTCACTCAGAAATCCCCACAGACGGCGCCAAATTGTTTGAGTCAAAAGATATTGAAACCGTTTTGAACAAATCAATCAAAGATGAAAGGGTAAATCTTTGTCAGACATAATAAATTCTAGATCAAAGAACTAAAGTATGGATCATACGTAGGATGAAGAGAATGTAAATGATCTTGTTGAGATTTAAAGTTGTGTCTCCCATCAATCGATGAGGAGATTGTTTTACATATTTTTCTAGAGATTCATTCTTCTCTTTCAAGAATAATAGAAGAGAGCTATTTTTGGTTTTCTTCGAGAGATAGACGGAATAGCCCTCTTTTTGAAAGCTTTCCCTTGCTACATATAGTCATGGCACCCTTGCCTTTTGTTTGGCTCGACGTCCTCTTGCCTCCAACGGGTCTTAGTCGTGATTTTAGGCGCAGTTCTTGCCGACTCGTCGGATGCCGGGAAAGGGGCATGGAGCGGGTTATACTATCTTTCACTGCTCGGTCACTTAGGCGGGACGTTGGTCAGCTCGGTCGTGATGATCAGATTTTGACCGATACAGTAAGTAGTGGTAATGTATCATTTCATACAGTACCAATTAAGGGCTATGTCACATTGAAAATAAATAGTTGTGTTATGGCACAAGAATTTATAAGTGTCGTATATTTTTTTTTATTTGAAAAGCTTTGACAAAGAAACGCACCAAAAGCTCAGACTTTAGCATACTGCAAAGAGAATCTACCAACTAGGCCAACGACAGAGTCAAAATCTAAACTTTATGCTTGATGCTAATTCTATTTGACTGCAATTTGTGAATCATTTGATAATATGCTTATACAACGTGGTTTTGTTAAGCATTGTCCTACTCTTTAAATTTTCAAACAAGAAACAAAATATTCTCCGTTTGGATCAACTTGGACGCATCTTGATTAATACACCGGTCAAGTGTCCAATCCACAAAACATATGAAACAGATTAATTGAAAGCTAGGATTTGAATGCGATCTCTAAATTGTTACTCACATGCCTGAACCACAGTAAGATATCCCATCACCAGAAGGTACAAGAATGTTGCAGCTTTTGTACTTAATGAACGACGTCAAACTGTTGATCCACATTGAAGCAATTCTTTAACACATATAGTGAGAGTCTTAGAGGCGGATCCGGGATTTAAAGATCGGGGTATACTTTTGCTTTCAACCAAAATCTGCTTTGTATACGGGGTGCCACTATGTAGTAATATATTTTCTAAAAACATATACATGTATTCATGTAAATTTTGCTGAATTTTTTTGGGTGCCGGTGACCCCTCACTTGATAACGTAGGTCCGCCTCTGCATATAGTCGCTTATTAGCTCGTTTCTCAAATATCTTACTACAAGAGGTTTCTCGGAAAAGCTACTTTCTTACTTGGCTGTTAATGAAGGCCTGTAACTCGTTCGATCAGTTTACCAGTTTATGATGTTAGTATATGAAAGTTTCCTTTGCAAGAAATAGGTTGGATAATAAACTTTTTAAAAATGGGTCAAATATGGATAAGAACCATATTATCCGCTTAGAAAATGGATAATCAATGAGTTTAACTTTTATATTTGTAAAAGACTCAAACAGGGGTTCCTAAGTTTGGGAGACTAGGAATTTTTCCAAAAATGATCATATTCGAGAAGCAATAGATAATATAGATCGGTTAACCCATTTTCTATCCATATAAAATATGGTGGGTCGGATAATTTATCCGTTTTTGCATTACCCATTTTTACCCGCCCATATCCGACCCGACTCAACCCGCCCGTTTGCCACCCCTAACTAGGAGCATTTATGAGAATGAACAATGTTACTGCTTCGGATTGAAACATATTACTGGTCCAATGCGTCTCTGATCCCATGTTCATGCATTTGGATGATATTGAGGGGCAAGAAATATATTCTCTCACATAGTAACTAAAATTGTGAAAGAAGCTGTTGACTACAGCAATGGCTAAGCCTGGCAAAAGACTTTGAACTTGGAAGATTCCCTACCATATCTCTGAAAACGAGCTCATATAACCGTAACTCAAAATTTCCAGCACAATGCACTATGCAGTATTTCTTTTTATAACTGTGGTTTCCGGGTCAGCTTGCGCGCACTTAAACTAATTCCACGGGATATATGCCATCTCCACCAACAGTAGGTACCAAGTAACTCTATCCACCAAGGCTTGGATAAATGAGAAAAAATCACCTAGTATTTTTGCCTTCGCTAGGATTTGAACCTGAGACCTCATGATTCTCACCCACTTCATTGACTACTTGGCAACACCGTTGGGTGCTCGGACAATACAGTATTAAGGGAAAAGGAGTGGGCATATTTCCCAGCAGACTTCTTTAATTTACTTCAAAGTTAACTATCCATACATCGATGAATCAAGATCGTTTATGCACACTTTTTTATAGGCACTATAATCACCTTCATGAGCAGTCAAGAGCGATAAGATTCCCATGTCAAGATAAGAAGACCTATTGGTTTCAAAAATAATTAATCCTGCAAACATGTCTCAGACAAGTCATCAAAGGTTTCATAAAGGTCAGGATGATATTGACTGAAAGACAAGTAAATTTGAAAAAGAGGAAAACTATTTACCGGCCTGAACAACTGAAGTAAAGCACAATCTGGTCAGCACGATGCAAGGACTCGTGGAAGACTGACTTTCCCCTTTAGGCAAATGCAGCCACTTGGAGCTTAAAACTTATCCAACTTGTCCGAGGAAACAAGCTTGTACTAGTGAGTCTTCATGAATTTGCAACACTAATAAAATGATCACAGAACTTGAAGTTAATATAATGAAAAAACAAACAAACGAAAAATGAGGAGAACAAGACATACCTTCTGAATTAGGGCTTAGTACATTCATCCATGATAACTTTAATTGAATTGACTTTCAGGATGACAGAGAAAACATGCTTGCAACCATGTAGGATTTTTTTTCCTATTATGCATGTGCTTCATATTTCGTCATCAAATGTTCAGGTAAAAATGGATACATACAAGAAACTTATAGTTACTAGGATGAATTCTACTATGTTATGTTTTCAGGTAATTACCAGTTAATAGCTACCCCGATATCAAGTTCTTCTTTATCCCAATGATTTTGGCATTTCTTGCATTGAAAGTTTCATGTTTTATAAGGAAAGAGAACACGAGTCTTGTTGGAGTGAGCTTTACAGCCCTGAAAAAGGATATGTGGATAAAAAGCAACAATTTCATTGAGAAACAGCTTCAGAAACTTTAAAGAAGCATATAACATGTACATGGTCTGTATCATGCTGATCAAGAGAAACCGCCATTTCTGGCATTAACTTAGTAAGATGGCTTTGATATGGTTAAAATTCTGTGTTCCGTGTATCTAAGAGCAGAGGTCAGCGACAACCTTAGCTAATATTTGCTCAAATTGGAATGTCAAAAGGAAAATATATGAATACATTATTTAAGCCTACTAGAGAACTGCATGAAGCTTGGAAGTGTCCCCACTATTTGACTTGTAACTCATTAAAGAGATTATTTCAGAGATGGCCAAAATAGGAACCCATTGATTCCTGTAAACTGAGTGGACAAATTTAGCCACTGATTACTATCCTAGCAAGCAACTGATACAGTTTGATTCCTTAGTTTCTGGACCTCTACTTTGGATCATTTCTTAATCCCAGTATGTCCTTTTGGGATTTCTGCTATTTAAGACACGGCCAAGAGTAGCCAGTGCATCTTGGTATTTCCGGATTTTCAGGAAACCCTTAATCATGGTAACCTCACTGTCTGAGAACTTTGCTTTCTTCATGATCATGCCAACAAGCTTAATTAGTGTATCTTCCATAGACAAAGAATACAGTCCTTCAGCAAGATTGTAGAATGAGGAGAATTCAGGAATGTGTCCTTTTTCCATCATCTCAATAGAAAAATCAACAGCTTCTTGAATGGGGCCCCCACCAGAAGAAATACCACGGAAAACAATCTTATAAGAAAAAGCATCAGGAGGATTAGCCGTTTCCTCCATTTCTCTGAAGAGTCTTACGGCTTCCTTGGTTCTCCGCCGTCTGAAGAGTGCCTGAATTACAGGATTATAGGCCTGTGGGGTCAAAACCATTCCTTTCATTTGAATACTTCTGAGGAGCCTGCTTGCAACCTCAACCCTACCTGCTTTACATAGTCCCTGGATTAGGGTCCCGTACGTAACAATGTCTGGTTCACACCCATTTGATGTCATGGTTTGCACAATGTCTGCTGCCTTTTTTATATCACCTGCTCTGCAGAAGTGAGAAAGAATGGAATTAAATGTGAATTTATCAGGCTTTAGTCCTTCCAGTATCATCTGGTCCATAAGCTGAGCAGCCTCCTCAACCCGCCTGGTCTTACAAAGACCATCAATGAGAGTGTTATAGGTGACCAAGTTTCTAGAAACCCCATGTAGTTCCATTTGGTCGAAGATCTCTTCTGCTTCTTCAATTTTCTTGTCTTTGCAGAAGCCATCTATCAAAGTATTGTATGTTATCACGCTTCTTGCACAGCCGCTTGACTCCATATCTTTGAGTAGGTTCATAGCTTCACCTAATCTCCTTTTGGCACAGAGACAATCAATTAGGATATTGTAAGTGAACTCGTCTGGCTCGCACCCTTTGTTTTTCATTTCTTCAAACAGTTCCATTGCAACGTTGAACTTGCCGGTGAAGCAGAGACCTTGTATGAGAGAATTGAAAGTGCAAACATCAGGTAGGAATCCCTTGCTTGTAAGAACACGAGCAAACTCAGTAGCTTCTTGGACTTGGTTCTCCCTGCACAAAGCACTAATAATGGTGTTATAAGTGACTGTATTAGGCGAGCAGTCCCTTACAAGCATCTGATTGAGAAGCTCAATAGCCTCTTGGACTTCACCCACTTCACCAAGTCCAGAAATCAAAATATTATAAGTATATACATCGGGGTCAAACCCGTCTTGAAGCATTAAATCCAGAATATCCAAGGCTTGGACAGCATGCCCTGCTTTGCATAAACCGTTTATCAAAGTGTTAAAGGTAAATTGGTCCGGAGAAAACCCTCGACTACACATGTCTTGCACAAAATTAAGAGCTTCGTCAATCCTGCCTTCTTTACAGTACCCGTGAATCAAAAGGTTCACAGTAATATTACTTGCAGGACATTTAGCTGCCACCATTTGGTCCCTAATTCTCAATGCACCATCTAAATTCCCTTCCTCAATATAACCTTGCATTATCGTCGTAAACGTCTTCTCATCCGGAACCAAACCATGGACAGGCATTTCCTCCATCATCAAAATAGCTGGCCTAATTTGATGTGTTTTACATAAAGCTTTAATCAATATATTAAAAGTCGATACATCCGCCTTTACCCCTTCATCCAACATTCTACTATGCACATTTTCGACAAGTTTTAACTTATTTCCATCAACAAGAACATTCAACAACAAATTGAAACTAAAAGTTCCAGGCTTTATACCAAACTCTTTCAACATCATATCAAGAACCCCAATAGCTTCATCATACAAATCAAACTTTGCATAACTTTCAATAAAGATAAAGAAAGTACCTTCAACTAATTCAACCTGCAATTTCTTCATATCATCCAATACTCGCCTCATCGAATCAAAAGACCCCACATTTCCTAGCTTCCTAAGAATCTCCTCATATACAGACAAACTGGGTGTAAAATGGGGTTGCTTAGAAGCCCATTCAAAGAGGTGAAAAGCTGAAGTTACATCATTTTCTCTCCGAAGGGTGTCTAGAAGTTGTTTGGGAGTGAACTCAGGTAAGAGTTCTTTTGCTTTGGAAGGTAAAACAGTTGAAACAGAAGATGAATTGGAGGCTGAAACTGAAGGAACACGTTCTTGGCGGGTTGAAAATGGGAGAGAAACGGGTTTAGGAGAATGGAAAGAAGGAGGAAATGGAATGGGGTTTGGTAGATTTTGAGACTGAGGCCATGGGTGACACTTGAGAAAGGAAGAGAAAGAGAAAGCCATTGAAGCAATTCAACAAACAGGTAGCATGCGTGTACCAATTCAAGTAAAGCACAGTTAAGACGACACTTTGAGCTGCTCACAAAGCGATAAGAAATGGTGGTGAATTCAATTTCAACTGGGGTAGTAGAATGAATGGTGGGTTTTGAGAACCAACGCTGCTAAAGGGATAAAAGCGACTACTCTTTCGTTTTAATGATTTTCTTAATATCTGTTTATTACAGTTGGTTTGGACGGACTAGTTCGTGTTAACAACGACTCGACTGATTTTAGAAAATAATACTTCCTCCAGCCACATTTAGTTATCAAGTTCTGTTCTTTAACTTATATTTTAGCATATATATTTTCATCATATTTTGATATTAGAAGAATTATAAGTTATACTAGTGTTTTTCCTTCATATACCTCTTTTTTTCTTTTTTGGGTCATTTTCATGCTATAGAAAAATCACAATCAGATAATACATACTTTAAACTTTTTCATAAAAGTTGGATATATATATATATATATATATATATATATATATATATATTAACAATTCACAATAAGCGAAATTAGTAACCTAAAATTAAGGCAAGCAAACCTGCTACACACGGTTAAAATACATTGATTAGGTAGAAAAAGATTTTACACCATCAATGCATATAAGTTACTAGTAAAAAATTTCATTAATGGTCGTGGCAAGACATATTTGAGTAAAAATTATGTGCACTGAAATTTAGTGGCGGAAGCAGAATTCCGTTGAGGGGGTTCAAAAAAAAAAAGAAAAAGTTAAAAAAATTAAAAGAGACTGTAGCCATGAGAATTGAATTAATGATCTTATGAAGATTTTGAACCCCATGACCACTGAAGTATGCTTTTGGACTATGTTAAGGGGATTCAAAGTATAATATATAAAGGTACAAATCGGCTTTTTGCCATATGTACAATGTAATTTCCTGACAAAGGAGGTTCGGGTGAACCCCTTTCTGCCCCTTACGGACTAGTAAGACAATAAGAACTTGCATGGCTAACTTGCAGCTGTTTTTGCATAAATAATATTGTATACGGTCAAAATCAAGGGGCCCGAATTCGAAGTCTTAAATTGGCTATAAGTTCGAGTCCGGGCGACTCGAAGTGGGGGTTGGGTCCGACTATGAAGCACACACCTCGAGGGAGCAAATTGAAGGCCTGAAACGACCTACATCGAGGGCAGTACAATTTCGATGACACTCAAGAAAGAGCGAGAATTTCTCAAGGACACGTGGATCAAGACATGAATTAAAGGATAAGATTTGTACGAGTCGGTACAGGTCCGTACTAGGTTGTTATACACATGTACCAATAGAAATTTTTACCACAATTAGGAATGTACTATATTGGGGTTTTCTCCTCCTATATAAAGGGGACCTCAATCATTTTCAAATAACACATTATTCACTGCAATAGAACATTCTACTTTACTTTTCTCGTGCTCCACAATTGTTCTTCAGCTTTATTGTTTTAACTTTATTGTTCTTACTTTATTTGCTCTTAACTCACCTCGAGGCCCTTGAGATAATCGAGCTCGAGGTCCCCGTTGCTCTAACAACACTAGTTTGGTTCATCAATTCTTCTTGTTTAAACCTAATATTGTTTGTATATTCACTAGTATTGGAATAAATCACATATCTTTAAAACCACAAATTACCTTTGATTGTTACTCATATTTTTCGAGGTAAACAGTTTGGCGCCCACCGTGTGGCTGAAGATATTAGTGATTATTTTAGTGCTAGTTTTCTAATAACACACTTTATTCTTCACACTTTTTCTTGTCAAAGATTCTTTGATTTCAGGCTAAGATATGTCTACCACATAAACGCACATGCTCATGACAATGAAGTCTTGGAGAAAACAATGGTATAGGGATCGGTGTACCACCCATAAACCTTGAGGAAGTGCCAAATATGGAGCCGGTTGATATCAGCTCGCATAACGCTCTAAATGTGGATTCAGGTGCAGACCCCGTAGGGAATGCGCATAGGGAAGCCCGACCCGATGGCAAAAAAAACACGAGGAATGGAGTAAGGAGGAGTCAGCCTCCAGGTGATATTTGAAATGTTGCAAGCCCAGTAAGTCGCCATCGCTCAACTTCAGAGTCAGAATAGAACTCCAAACACAGCCGAACTAGTGGACACTCGGCGTGCTGAACCAGAGCTTGAAAGGCCCGCTGAAAATGGCTCAGGGACTGACCCCACGGTTATGAGAATGATCGAAGAGCTCGCCAAAAGGATCGAGACCGGAGAAAAGAAGATTGAAGAAAATGACAAAAAGATGGAGACATACAACTCTAGGGTCGACCAGATACCGGGAGCACCTCCGATTTTGAAAGGACTGGACTCGAAGAAGTTCCTGCAAAAACCATTCCCCCAAAGTGCGGCTCTGAAGCCCATCCCGAAGAAGTTTCGGATGCCAGATATCCCAAAATACTACAGAACCACTGATCCCAACGAGCACATTACCTCATATACTTGTGGCATAAAAGGAAATGATTTGGAAGACGATAAGATTGAATCTATTTTGCTAAAAAAAGTTTGAGGAAACTCTGTCTAATGGTGCCATGATTTGGTACCATAACTTACCCCCGAACTCTATTGATTTGTTTTCCATGTTGGCAGACTCATTTGTAAAGGCACACACCGGTGCTATAAAAGTTGCAACAAGGAAGTCCGATGTATTCAAAATAAAGCAAAGGGAGAACGAGATGTTGATGGAGTTTGTGTCCCGTTTCCAGTCAGAACGAATGGAGTTATCACCAGTTTCCGATGACTGGGCCGTACAAGCCTTCACTCAGGGTCTAAATGAACGAAGTTCGATAGCTTCGAAGCATCTGAAGCATAACTTGATCGAGTATCCCGCCGTGACTTGGGCGGATGTGCATAACAGGTACCAATCAAAAATTAGGGTCGAGGATGACCAGTTGGGAGCCCCCTCGGGCTCAGTTTATCCAAGCAGGTTACTAGCAAAGGAGTCAGGAAATGCATACAGGGGGTCAAGGCCGAATAAGGAAAGATATCAGCCATACGTCGAGGATCGATGGAACATTTCAAGGCGTAACATACCTCGGAATGATTGAAGAGCAGATCAAGGTCAAAGTTCCCAGGGACTCATGAGTAAAACCGGGTTAGATAAGCACTTGGGATCGATAGAGGCACCCCGATTATCGGAGTACAACTTCAGCGTAGATGCCTCGGGCATCGTCTCAGCCATTGGCAAAATTAGAGATACTAGATGGCCCAAGCCTATACAAACCGATCCTTCTTAGAGGAACCCTAACTTGATGTGCAAGTATCATGGTACTCATGGGCATAGGACCGAGAATTGCAGGCAGCTTAGAGAGAAGGTAGCCCGGTTGTTCAACAAGGGGCATTTTCGTGAATTTTTTAGCAACCGGGCCAAGAACCATTTCCGAGAAAGAGTTGCAAACAGGAAGAATGAACCTGAAGAACCTCAACATGTCATTCACATGATCATCGGTGGAGTCGACGTCCCACAGGGAGCTATATTCAAACGTACCAAAGTGTCCATCACAAAAGAGAAACGGACTCGAGACTACATGCCCAAGGACACCCTCACATTCAGCGAGGAAGACATCGAGGCCTTATCTCAGCCTCACAACGATGCACTAGCAATTTCTATCCTTTTAAATAAAGTTCAAGTTAAACGTGTTCTCGTAGATCCAGGTAGTTCAGCAAATATAATCAGATCAAGGGTCGTGGAGTAGCTCGGGCTGCTTGACCAAATCATACCTGCCTCTCGAGTCCTGCATGGACTCAACATGGCTAGTGAAATGACGAAGGAGGAAATCATCCTCCCAGTTAACGTGGCCGAAACCATACAAGACACCAAGTTTTATGTCATCAAAGGAGATATGAGGTATCATGCTTTACTTGGAAGGCCGTGGATCCATAGCATGATGGCAGTACCATTGACCCTTCATCAAATGACGAAATTCCCAACAAAGGATGGCGTTAAAATAGTATATGGAGAGCAACATGCAGCTAAGGAGATGTTTGCAGTACACGACTTGACACCGGTATCGACACCATCCACATCGGAGAAGTCAAAGGACAAACAGGTCGCCAAATAGCAATCACAACCTATACCCTCAGTTGAGCCCGAGGGACAGGTAGCCGATGAACAGGTGGTCGCAGACGAAGAAGAAGATTTCCTCACCCCCCGAGACTTCGTTTCCCTCGAGGAATCAGATGCGACGAAGTCCACGATCAAAGAACTCGAGCAGTCCATATTGATCGAGCATCTTGTAGAATGAAAGGTATACCTAGGGACGGGGTTAACCCCCAAACTCAGGAAAAAACTCATTTAATTTCTTATCGATAACATTGATTGTTTTGCAAGGTCCCACTTAGATATGATAGGGATCCCACCGGAGATAACTACCCATCAACTAAGTGTCGATACCAGATTTAAACCGGTGAAGCAAAAGAGGAGACCTCAGTCCGAGGTAAAGCATGCATTCATCAAAGAAGAGGTAACCAAACTTCTCAAGATAGGGTCCATTAGGGAAGTAAATTATCTTGAATGGCTAGCTAACGTAGTAGTAGTCCCTAAAAGGGAAACAAACTTAGAATGTGTATAGACTATAAAGATTTGAACAAAGCACGCACTAAAGATTCTTTCCCATTGACCAACATCGATAGTTTGATTGATGCTATGGCCGACCACAAGATCCTTACTTTTCTCGATGCCTACTCCGAGTACAACCAAATTCAAATGAACCTGGAGGACCAGAAAAAGATTTTGTTCATCACGAAGTATGGTACGTACTGTTATAATGTAATGCCCGTCGGGCTAAAAAATGCAGGAGCCACATATCAACGCCTAGTTAATAAGATGTTCGAACATCAAATAGGTAAATCTATGGAAGTTTATATTGATGACATGCTAGTTAAGTCCCTGCGCGTAGAGGACCATTTGACTCGTTTGCAGGTGACGTTCGATATCCTAAGAAAGTACAACATGAAGCTCAACCCCGGGAAATGTGCTTTTGAGTCGGCTCAGGCAAGTTCTTGGGTTTCATAGTGTCGAACAGGGGGATCGAGATCAACCCCGATAAAATCAAAGCCATCGAAGAAATCACCGTGGTGAACAATGTGAAAGTCGTACAACGGCTGACTGGAAGGATAGCTGCCCTAGGAAGATTTATCTCGAGGTCATCAGATCGGAGCCATAATTTCTTTTCCCTACTCAAGAAGAAGAACAACTTCGTATGGACTCCGGAGTGCCAACATGCCTTGGAAGAATTAAAGCGG